ACACGAGCACACACACATTCAAACACGTGCACGCGCACATTCACACACACATGCACACACATTCACGCGCACACACGTGTGCACACACACGAGCCCCTTCAGGCAGAGACAAGGCATTAGACACAAGTTGTTCCCAGTGCGTCCTGCCTGTGAGCACTGACTGCTGCCTCCCCGACTCAGCCCACGGGGCCCTGCCAGGGGCTGTGATGACCCGCAGGCCGTGCCAGCGCCACCTGTGACACCGCCAGAGCTCCGGGCCACCCAAGTCACCAGCTCCCACGAGCGCCAGGGCCTGGGCAGTGCCCGCAGCCGCTCTGGGCTCCCTGTGGGCGCCGGAAGCACACGCCACGCACACCGGTCGGCCAGAGTGCCCCAGTGACCGTGTCCTTGGCCGGGACGGGAGGCGTCCTCCTTCCCCGAGAGGGACTGTGGTGAGGTCAGGGCTAATGGCACCCTCAGGGACACCCAGCAGGAGGGAGTGGGGGAGGAGCAGCACCCTGGTGTGGATGGGTCCTGGCTGCCTTTGGCTGCTCTGTCTGGGTTCAGCTTCTATCCTCTCACCCCCTCCTCTCCTGGGGGCAGGTGGGGCCCAGGCAGGGGAGGGAGCTGGGGGCCCCCCACCTGGCACCTCGGTTAGGGACAGAGGGGCCCTCAGAGTGAGGGTGGGTGTTGCCAGGAGCCTCGCCTGGGGTCCTGGGTGTGGGCTCCGGTCCAGTCCCGGCTGGGTGAGGGCTGGCCTCTCCCCGACACCCTTCCCCTGTCCCCACTCCCTCCCACCACGGCCCCTCAGCTTCCTGGGAGCTGGTCCAGCTGCAGGGAGTCCTGCCTGAGGCAGGTGGTCAGCCCTGGGGGTCCCGGGAGCTCAGCTCCACCCCACCCCGCGGCGGGGGTCCAGCATGCCCCTCCGCAGGCTCCCAGGAGAACCGGGGCCTAGAAAACGCCTGGGAAGCAGACGCTTTAACCAATGGGAAATAGTGAGGAGGCTCCCTCCGCCTCCTTGAAGCCTGAGGGCTGCTCCCTGGTCTCCTCCTCCTTCCTCTTGCCCCGCGGGTCTCCCAACACTGCGTCAAGTCAGGGCCCCGAGGGTGGGGGCCAGGCCCTAACAGCGTCCTCCCCTCCCTGGGAAACCACAGGAAACTCCTGGATTAAAGCATTGGGGGCCTGGGCTGGGTTGCTCAGTGGTGGAGCGTCGGCCTAGGAACCAGGAGGTCAGGGTTGGATTCCCGGTTGCAGGCTCGGTCCCCAGTGTGGGGCCTGCAGGAGGTGGCCGATCAATGACTCTCTCTCATATTGAAGTTTCTCTCTCCCTCTCCCTTCCTCTCTGAAATCAATAAAAATATATTTTAAAAAGAAAGAAAGCGCTGTGGGAGCTGGCGCATCCCAAGGGATGAGCCGTGAGCTCCTGGGGTTCGGCCTCCCTCAGGCCCAGGACACACTGGCTTTGGAGGAGACACTGGGCCTGGGGGCGGGGGGGAGGGAAGGGGGGGCAGCGGCCCCACCCACAGGCGTGTGGAGATGATCTGGCTACACAGCCCAGGCTGTGGGGACGCACTGTCCATGGTTTGCCAGGTGCAAGGAGAGGAGGAGGAGGAGGAGAAAGCGCCGAGGCTGGGAGAAGGGACTGTGGCAGCCGAGCCTGTGGGAGGGATGGGCTGGCAGGGCGGCAGGCTGGAGCAACACGGAGTGAGCGAGCCAGGGGGCAGAGGTCGTGGGAGGAAAGGAGAGGCGCACTGGCCAGGCCTGAGCACAGCCAGTGGCTCCTGGAGCTGAGCTCGGTCCCCAGAGGGTAGACGGCATCCCTCACCCGACAGCAGAGATGACCATGCGAAGCCGCTCAGGGTCCTCCTGCCACGCTGGCCCCCGGTGCACAAGGCTCTCTGTGGCCATGAACCGTGTCCGCAAGTGCCCTCTGCCCGGTGCTAGGAGCCACCTGCATCTACCAAGCGCCCGAAGCAAGGCGAGGGCAACCGGGAGCTAAGGATAACTCCATTTTATTGCAATTGATTCAATTCATTTAAAATATATATATATATATTGATTTCAGAGAGGAAGGGACAGGGAGAGGGAGACAGAAACATCAATGATGAGAGAGAAGCATGGATTGGCTGCCTCCTGCACGCCCCAAACTGGGGCTCGAGCCTGTAACCTGGGCCTGCGCCCTGACCGGGAATCGAACCAGGACCTCCTGGTTTATAAGTTGATGCTCATCTGCTGAGCCCACAGCTGGGCACAATTGGTTACATTTAAATAGCCACAGGGGCGAGTCCCTGTCCTATAGGACGGCAGGGGTTTAGATACCAAAGGCCACCCGCCCCGGGCCAGTTTGCCAGGAGATGGTGACACGCTGTAGTTGTGTGCCCTAGTGCTGGGGTAGAAAACTTCCATAGCCACCATGTAATGCTATTGTATTTGAGGAAGAGAGAAGTGTGTGTGTGTGTGTGTGTGTGTGTGTGTGAATGTGTGTGAGTGTGTGTATGAGTGTGTGTGTGGGTTGAGTGTGTGTGTATGTGTGTGTATGAATGTGTGTGTGAGTGGGTGTGAGTGTGGGTTGTGTGTGTGCGTGTGTGTGGGTGTGTATGTGAGTGTGGGTTGAGTGTGTGTGTGTGTGAGAGTGAGTGTATGTGAGTGGGTGTGTGAGCGTGTATGTGTGAGTGTGTGTGTGTGTGTGTGTGTGAGTGGGTGTGTGAGCATGTGTGAGTGTGAGTGGGTAGGAGAGTGTGTGTGAGAGTGTGTGTGTGTGAGTGGGTGTGTGAGTGTGAGTTGGGTTGAGTGTGTGTGTGAGTGGGTGTGTGAGCATGTGTGAGTGTGAGTGGGTAGGAGAGTGTGTGTGAGAGTGAGTGTGTGTGAGTGGGTGTGTGTGTGTGAGTTGGGTTGAGTGTGTGTGTGAGTGGGTATGTGAGTGGGTGTGAGTGGGTATGTGAGTGGGTATGAGTGTGTGTGTGAGAGTGTGTGTGAGTGTGTGTGTGTGTGAGTGTGTGTGAGTGTGAGTTGGGTTGAGTGTGTGTGTGAGTGGGTGTGTGTGTGTGAGTTGGGTTGAGTGTGAGTGGGTGTGTGAGTGGGTGTGTGAGTGTGTGTGAGTGGGTATGTGAGTGGGTGTGAGTGTGTGTGTGTGTGTGTGAGTGGGTATGTGAGTGGGTGTGTGTGTGTGTGTGTGTGTGTGTGAGTGGGTATATGAGTGGGTATGAGCGTGTGTGTGAGAGTGTGTGTGAGTGTGTGTGTATGTGAGTGGGTGTGTGAGTGGGCATGTGAGCGTGTGTGTGTGAGTGTGTATGTGAGTGGGTGTGAGTGTGTGTGAGTTGGGTTGAGTGTGTGTGTGTGTGTGTGTGTGTGTGTGTGTGAGTTGGGTTGAGTGTGAGTGGGTGTGTGAGTGGGTGTGTGTGTGAGTGGGTGTGTGAGTGGGTGTGTGTGTGTGTGAGTTGGGTTGAGTGTGTGTGAGTGGGTGTGTGAGCGTGTATGTGTGAGTGTGAATGTGTGTGTGAGTGGGTGTGTGTGTGTGAGTGGGTGAGTGAGTGTGTGTGAGTGGGTGTGTGAGTGGGCATGTGAGCGTGTGTGAGTGTGTATGTGAGTGGGTGTGAGTGTGTGTGTGTGTGTGTGTGTGTGAGTGTGTGAGTGGGTATGTGAGTTGGGTTGAGTGTGTGTGAGTGTGTATGTGAGTGGGTGTGTGAGTGGGCATGTGAGCGTGTGTGAGTGTGTGTGTATGTGAGTGGGTGTGTGAGTGTGTATGTGAGTGGGTGTGTATGTGAGTGGGTGTGTGAGTGGGTGTGTGAGTGTGTGTGTGAGTGGGTATGTGAGGTGGTGTGTGTGTGTGTGTGTGTGTGTGGGTGTGTGTATGTGAGTGTGTGTGTGTGTGTGTGTGTGTGTGTGTGTGTGTGTGTGAGTGGGTATGTGAGTGGGTGTGTGTGTGTGTGAGTGTGTGTGTGAGTGGGTATATGAGTGGGTATGAGCGTGTGTGTGAGTGTGTGTGTGAGTGTGTGTGTGTGTGAGAGTGTGTGTGAGTGTGTGTGTATGTGAGTGGGTGTGTGAGTGGGCATGTGAGCGTGTGTGAGTGTGTGTGTGAGTGGGTGTGAGTGTGTGTGTGTTTTCCTGACGGGAGGCCAATCTGTGTGTGAGTTTTCCTGAAGCGGGAGCCAGTCACGGGTGAGATGAACACCCGCCCTTGGGCAGGAAAGACACCCAAACCCCCAGGGCTCCTTGGCTCTGAGGCCTCTGCGTGGAGGGCGGCGGGCAGTCACCAGCTGATGCTACTGGTCCCGGAGCCCAGACGTTTTGTTCTCAAAACCAGGCGGGAATTAAAATCAGCTAATTTTTGAAACCTGGCGGGCAATCAGGTGGCATTTTACAAAGCGTGTTATACCGTGTTCCATGGCCAAAAGGCGGAAGCAACCCGAGTGTCCTCCGCGCACCCTGGACCGACAAACGCGGGCAGCGCCCCAAGGCAGGCAGCCGCCCTCCAGGCCAAACCCCTGGAGAGGAGGATGGTGGGTGCGGGGGGGGGGGCAGGGGGGTAACTGCCGTTTAATGAGTTCGGTTTCGGCTTTGCGAGATGAAAGGGGTCTGAGGGTGGGTGCACACCCGTGTGGATGTTCTAACACTGCGAGCTACACTTGCCAACGGCCAGACGGTTATTCCCGGGGCGTGGACCTGACGGTTTAAATAAAGACGCATGTGTACAACTCACCCAGAGTCCGGGCAGGAGGCGCGGGGGGCGGGCACCGGAGTCTTAGCCCCACCGATGGGAGAACAACCTCACGTCACCCCAAACCTGCCTCCTGTGCCCCCTCCGGCCGGTCCTGTGTCTCCCCGCCCCCCTCCCCCGCCCCGGCCGGTCCGGTCCGGTCCGGTGACCCGGCTCCCAACCCCCGCTCCCTGGTGCGAGCCACGCCCCCGCGCCCGGGTGACCAATGAGCGCGCGCCTGCGCCCGGCCTCGCGCGGCGATTGGCTGCGCCCAGCGGCCGGCGGCGCCGGCTCCCCAGCCGGGTTTAAAGGGGTCCGTGCGGGCGCTGCCCCGCCGTCGGCTCCCCGCGCGCAGGTCCGCGGGGCGGGGCAGCTGCCCAAGGGCCACCCCGGGGCGTTTCCGAAGGGCGCCCCGACCGCCCCCCGATGTACTATGCGGTCTGCCAGGCGCGCGTGAACGCGGCCCCCGCGACCATGCTGCGGCCACAGCGGCCGGGAGACGTGCAGCTCGGGGCCTCCCTGTACGAACTGGTGGGCTTCCGGCCGCATCCCTCCTCCTCCTCGACCTCCTCCTCGACCTCCTCCTCCACGACGGCCCCCCTCCTCCCCAAGGCCGCGCGCGAGAAGGCCGAGGTGCCCGCCGACCCGCCGGGCTCGGGAGCGGGGCCGGGCGCGCGCGCGGACGGCGGCCCCCGGGCGGACCCCAAAGAGGAGCAGCAACAGCAGCTGCGGCGCAAGATCAACAGCCGCGAGCGGAAGCGCATGCAGGACCTGAACCTGGCCATGGACGCGCTGCGCGAGGTCATCCTGCCCTACTCGGCCGCGCACTGCCAGGGCGCGCCGGGCCGCAAGCTCTCCAAGATCGCCACGCTGCTGCTCGCGCGCAACTACATCCTGCTGCTGGGCAGCTCGCTGCAGGAGCTGCGCCGCGCGCTGGGCGAGGGCGCCGGGCCCGCGCCGCGCCTGCTGCTGGCCGGCCTGCCCCTGCTCGCCGCGCCCGGCCCCGTGCTGCTGGCGCCCGGCGCCCTGGGGCCGCCCGACGCGCTGCGCCCCGCCAAGTACCTGTCGCTGGCGCTCGAGGAGCCGCCGTGCGGCCAGTTCGCGCTCCCGGGCGGCGGCGGCGGCGCGGGCGGCCCCGGCCTCTGCCCCTGCGCCGTCTGCAAGTTCCCGCACCTGGTCCCGGCCGGCCTGGGCCTGGCCGCCGTGCCGGCGCCGTTCTCCAAGTGAGCGCTCGCCCTCCCGGCTCCCGCGCGCCCCCGCGCCTGGCGCCCTGCACCGCGGGGCCCATCCGGGAGCCCCTTGAGGACCTCCCGGCCCAGAGCAGGGGACTCCGGGCGCCCCCACCCCGCGGAAGTGCAAGTGACCCGAGCGGCTGTTGGGCGAAGCGCGGGCGCCGCGGAGGTCCGTGTGGCCTCAGCCGCTTGGGCGCAGCGCGCTCCCCCCTCTCCCGCGGCCCCGGAGCTGCGCCCGCTCGTGGGCGGCCGGTAGGACCGCGCTCGCCCGGTGCAGCGGGAGGCCGGCTCCCAGCGCCGCCGCGCAGAGGCCACACCTGCGGAGCCCGCGCGCTGTGCTCCGGGCGGGAAGGGGTTCTGCACCGGCCCCCCCACCCCCGCCAGAGGTGAAGGCGCCCGGTGCCCGCCAGCCCGGCCCTGTCAGAGGAGGCTGCCGGCCTCGGGAGGCGGAAATGACCGGCAGTCGGTGCAGAGACCGGGCGCAGCGGACGATGAACCCTCCCAGCCCTCGGACGGCAGGCCTCGCGGTGGCGCGGGAGGCGGCGATGGCAGCTCCAGGGTCGCGGGGTGCGGTTTGGGAAGAGGGTCCGCTTGCGACCCGGCGGTTGGATCCGTTTTTGAGGTCACACCGCCGGGTGCGGCGCTGGGGCGGTTCGCTCTAGGTCCCGAGGCCTAGAAGGACGGGGAGGGGGGCGGGAGGGGCTGGGACGTCTGTCGTCGCCCTGCCCGCAGGGAGGCAGCCAGCGCCCAGCGACCTCAAACGAAGCCCGCCTCCCGCCGCCGGCTCCGAAACCCCAGCACCCCCAGCTCATCCGCTCCTCTCCCCGCAAGCGGCCAGGGGGCTGCGCCCCAACCCGTGCTCATCCGCCCACCCCGTGGCCTCCGGGGATGGGCTCCGCCTTCGGCCTCCGGTCGCTTTGCCTCGGAAGCTACACGGTGAGCGGCTCCGTGGTCACAGCGGCAGCACCTTCTCCACCCCGAGGCTCGCTTTGGACCCGCGTTGAAGGCGTTTGTGGTGGGAGCAGCGCGGTCTCCGGCATCTCTTCTCTCTCTGGCTCCTTGCGCTGCGGGAACCCACACAATAAAGCTCCACAGGCCCGAGTTGTTGGTTGCTGTCTGATTTGTTTGTTAATGAAAGTGCCCGGTGCCCTGGTGGGCGCAGACCCTGGGAGGCAATACTTCAGTGCCTGGGCCTCAGGCAGGCGGTGGGCAGTCAGCTCAGGGCCAGGGGACAGTCAGGGCCGAGACCAGGGGCAGGTGGGGGTGGGGTAGAGGGAGGGAGGGAGGGAGGAAGGTAAGGAAGGAGGGAGGGAGGAGGGAGGGAGGAAAGGAAGGAGGGAGGGAGGAGGGAGGGAGGAAAGGAAGGAGGGAGGGAGGAGGGAGGAAGGTAAGGAAGGAGGGAGGGAGGAAGGAAGGAGGGAGGGAGGAGGGAGGGAGGAAAGGAAGGAGGGAGGGAGGAGGGAGGAGGTAAGGAAGGAGGGAGGGAGGAGGGAGGGAGGAAGGTAAGGAAGGAGGGAGGAGGAAAGGAAGGAGGGAGGGAGGCAGGCAGTTCTCCGGAGGCTCTGAGCCATGCTTGGCCCCTGGCTCTTTTTTTACTGCAGCTTCCTCTTCTGGAAAAAATGGGTTAAATAAAACATTATGATCAAATGCACAATCTCCCCTCTTTCTCAGAAATGCACCTTTCCTCTTTTCCCGGGTGGAAGCTGAAACATGAGCACCAGCTGTGAGCCCCCCCCCCCCCCCCACTGTCCTTCAGGTCAGGGAGGACTTGTCTCCTAGGAAACCCTGGCCTGGGACCCATCCTGCTCCAGCAGGTGGAGAAGGCCCCGGGCTGCTGGGTGGTGTCAGGAGGGACTTGGCAGGGGACTGGCTCGCTCGCATGCAGTGTGAACGCTTCGCAGTCACTAAGGAAACCCTCCCCTGTCCCAAGGCGGGCGGGTCTCAGTTGCCCAGTTGCAGAGGGAAAGCAGCTCCCCTTTAATCTGCAGAAAGTGAGAGAAAACCCGCCAGCCAGGGACTCCCTTTATCCGTGGTGCCCCGAGGCCTGGGTGCATTCAGGGGATGAGCACTCACGTCAGGAACCTGTGGGAGGGGGCTGGGAGGGGGGCTGGCTAAGTGTCCCTTTCCTGGTGGTCAGCCAGCTCAGGGCCAGGGGAGAGGCAGGGCGCGGTTGGAGAAGACTAGAAAGAAAGTGGCTTTAGGTTCCGCTGGACTCTGCCCCCAGGCACGCCCGGCTCCTTTAACACGTGCATTCGAATGCGGCCTTCTGTGTGTCCAGAGCCCATCCTCGCTGACCTGCGTCTTGACCAGGGACAGAGAGAAAAAGGAAAACCAGCAGCTCAATCGAGGCCAAGGGGGGTCCTCCCTGCAAACAAGGTTTCTAGGGTTAAAAGAGCAATTCCCCCCGGGCCCCAACCCCAGCCCCTGGCGGCCGCTGGCACCCCAAACCATCACCATCCATCCCCACCCGAGGCAGGAAGGCCCGGGCAGAGGGAGGGAACCTCCTCCCTCTGCTGATAACCGGGGGGCAGGGCCGAGCCTCCTGGGAAAGGTAACCCAGTGTGATTTCCCCCTTCACTGCGGACTCGCTCTGTCCTGTTTCCAGAACTGCTGAAGGTTCTGAGTGGCTTCACGGGTGTGTGGGGCCCTTTGGAATGGCATCAGAATGCATGTGGCATCTCCCTGGCCATCACGCCACGCAAGATGCAGACCTGCTCCTTAGAGGAATTTACATCCTGCCCGGCTGGCGTGGCTCCGTGGCTGAGCATTGACCTATGAACCAAGAGGTCACCGGTTCAATTTCCAGTCAGGGCCCAGGCCCGGGTTGCAGGCTCTATCCCCAGTGTGGGCTGTGCAGGAGGCAGCCGATCAGTGACTTCCTCTCTCATCAATGTTTCTGTCTCTCCCTCTTCCTTCCTCTCTCTCTCTCTAAAAAACAAACAAGATTATATATATATATATATATATATATATATATATATATATATATATATATAAGAATTTACACCCGGGAAGACAGCATCCATGGGCATTCTGGAGGCCTGCAGGATAAAACAGTAAGTTGTGTGTGTGTGTGTGTGTGTGTGTGTGTGCGCATACATGTGCATACACAGTGTCAAACATGCACCATCAGGCCTCTCCCTTCTGTCTGAGCTGCAGTGTGTGCTGCAGGCTCAAGGCTGGAGCAGGAGGCTGCTTCAGGAAATCCGCAAGAGGCTTCCCGCAGGAGGAGCGGGTTAAGCGGGGTCTTTGCAGGGTCGGGAAAGCTGGGAGGGCGTGAGGCAGGAGTCAAGATGAGAAGAAACACGTGGCCGCTGCCACACAAGGTCCCGGCCCCGGCGGTCAGGGAGCGGACCCGAGAGCACAGGCCCTGAGGAGCGAGTTGGTCCGTGCGTGTGAGGCCGGTGAGCAGTCAGCAAACACGGGCTGCACGCCTGTGGGTACTCCCTGGCCTGCGATGGCCCATTTACAGGCTCTGCGGGAGCTGACGACACCAGCGGGGAGCATGTAACCGTGTGGAACACGCAACCTGGAAGGCAGGAGTCCCAGCGGGGAGTCAGCGCCACTCTGGGCGCCGACAGCATCTCACTTCAAGGTCAGGTCATTAACGCGGGGCTTCCCTGTGGCCGCCCTGTTCCTGGGCTCCCCAGGCGGGCAGGGCAGCTGGGCCCACGCCAGCGGCCAGCACTCAAAGGCCAGCCTGTAGCTCCGCCTCCGGGGCCGCAGGAAGCCAGAGGAAGTGGGGCTGCCCTTCCGTGCTCAGTGATGCTCCTGAACTTGCCAGGAACCAGGTGGCGGCAGGAAGAGCCGTTCAGTGGATGCCTTTTCCCAGCATGGCAGCGACCAGGCACCCGCGGCCTCCGGGGGCCCCATTCTGCTGGCTCAGTGCCCTCCCTCTGCGCGCGCAGTAGGTCTTCAGAAAGAAGCGTGCCACCTCGCTGGAGCGGGCCCACGGCCCACGGGTCGGAGAACGTCACGTTTTCCTGAACCACAGGGTCGCTTGTGTGGAGCAGGCGTCAGATGGAGGGAGACCCTGTTTGCAAGCAGGTGCGGCCTCTCTTGCCAAATCTGAGCTGTGAGAACCAGGCGGCCCCATCATCCCTGAGACCCGTGTGCCAGCTGGTTACCTATGTGACGTGACCTTGCCACGACCTTGCCGAGCAAAGCCTACTCGGTCCTTTGAAACGGAGCCAGTGCAGAAGCTGCCGTGCCAGTCAGAACTGAGGGCGGGTCCTCTGCTCCTGGGATCAGCTGCTCCTTCAGAAACCTGCCCCCGTACCCCTGCCCCCCATGTTGAGAGGCCTGTGCAGGACCAGGAGGACCGGCCCTGGACCCCGCCGGCTGGTCGGGCGAGAGACGCCTGCATGGCAAGCGAAGGGGGCGCGTTTCTGCTTCAATGACCACAGAGGACACAGCACGCAGGCGGGCACTGCCCGGGACAAGGGACACACGTGCCAGATGGTATCTGAGCCCATGGAATGCCAGTGGCAGGAGACCCGGGCAGGACCGGCCCCCCTCCTCCTGCGGAATGAGGCACCTGAGACCCAGGACACTCAGGGGACAGGCTCCAGGCCCCACAGGGTGTCAGAGGCAGAAACGCCCGGGACCGGGACCTGCTTGGAGGAGGCAATGCTGCTTCCTCGCCGTCCTGGTGGGCCTGGCATCACCTGGAAGCGGGACCCTGGCGGGAGGCGGGCACACCTTCAGCCCCGGGGCCTTGTCCAGCCTCTGCCCAGCCCTCCGGCTGCCCCTGCGTGTGGCTTCTAGAAGCAGCAACACAGGCAGCCCCTGCCACCTGAGCCGGCTCTGCAGCCCCGCTCCAGTCCCCCTGCCAGCCCCCCGCCTCCCCCCCAGCCCCCGGGAGGCCCAGATGCCGACAGGCTGCAGCAGGCCGAGGAGGCCAGGCCAGGCCTCCGAGATGCTCTGCTGGGCACAGGCGTGTCATGAGGGTTCAGGAGGCGAGGGAACAGGCAGCTGGCGGGCAAGGGCAGCTGGGCAGCGGCATCCACGTAGGCCCTTGCTGGGCTGACCTGGCGGACCCTCCCAGTCTTGCTGGTGGGCCCCGTTCACCGGTGTTTCCCTGGGTGTGAGGGACTCTCCAGGGGCGGCTCGGTGGGACAGAGGACAGCCGGCCGCAGGCGCCTGCGCAGGGTCTCAGCGGGGGGTCGGTCAGGGGCCGGAAGAGCCGGCCCAGGTCCCACGCTGGGAGCGAAGGGGTTTGTGTCCCACAAGCTCCCGAGGGAGGTGGGTAAGTCCTCAGAGAGGCCGATGCCCGCGCCCCAGGCTGCTGTGGTGGCCTAAGAAGGGCCGCTCCTGTGACACTGAGTCCCCTCCCACACGTCCCTGCTGTTCCCGGCGTGGGGACCCGGTGGCTGAGGTGAGGAAGGACGTGCTGGGGTCGGGGCTGCGGCCGGGACAGAGTCAGATTCCTGGGCCGTACCTCCCAGACAGCTGTCCCTGTCCTGCCGGCACAACACAAGCGCATGGAAGGCAGTGCCTGCTAGGGTGGGGGTGAGGGTGAGGGGAGGGTGAGGGTGAGGGTGGGGGTGAGGGGAGGGTGAGGGTGGGGGTGAGGGTGAGGGTGGGGGGTGAGGGGAGGGTGAGGGTGGGGGTGAGGGGGAGGGTGAGGGTGAGGGTGGGGGTGAGGGGAGGTTGAGGGTGGGGTGAGGGTGAGGGTGAGGGGAGGGTGAGGGTGATGGTGAGGGTGAGGGGAGGGTGGGGGTTGAGGGTGAGGGGAGGGTGAGGGTGGGGTGAGGGTGAGGGGAGGGTGAGGGTGGGGGTGAGGGTGAGGGGAGGGTGAGGGTGGGGGTGAGGGAGGGTGAGGGGTGAGGTGGGGTGAGGGTGAGGGGAGGGTGAGGGTGAGGGTGAGGGGAGGGTGAGGGTGGGGGTGAGGGTGAGGGGAGGGTGAGGGTGGGGGTGAGGGTGAGGGTGAGGGTTAGGGATAAGGTTAGGGCTACGTTTAGGGTTCTGGTTAGGAATAGGGTTATGATTAGGGTAGGATTAGGGTTAGGGTTGAGTTATGGCTAGGATTAGGGCTAGGGCTAGAGTTAGGGTGAGGGTGAGCATTAGGGTTAGGGTGAGGGTCATATGGAGGGGAAGGTGTGAGTGTGGATGAGGGTGAGGTTGAGG